GTTGCTGTTACTGTGTGCTGCCAAAGAACTGATTCATAGCTGATAAGAAAAGAGAAATCACTAACTAGAGGGTTATTATGTTGCATATCACTAAGTCAGGATTGACCCATAGTTGAAGGTCCAGCAGGTTTTAAGAGGCAGTAAATGACATGGGACGAAATTGCCCATCCTTCTCCCCTGGAGCAGCTGGTGGATCCCGACTACGTATCTTTGCATTGGCAGTGCAATTCCCAATGTCATTAAGCTACCAGAGCTTCCCAAAGTACAGGGTAAATGCATGTTACTTTGGGTCAAGGAAGGCCAACAGAAAATGACCAAGGCCAAGAGAGGTACTGAGAGAAAGAAGGAAAGGAGTTAAAGACAACAGAAGTCAACACTATTGCGTATCTGATTATATAATACCAAAAATGATGATATACGTGAATACATAGACAAATGATCAAACTAAACAGGGGTAGGAAGATAAATGGTACTGTGTTGTGTTCCTGTTATAGGGAACACACACATAATATATGGAGGACTATATCCATAAATAAACATAGGTTTGACATTGGATATGTCAATAGATTATATTTATATATACTGTCAAGATATCCATGCACATAGAGTACATCCGTTATTATAAACAAAGTTGTGCAAACTTCTTATCCAATACTGAACACCTTGAGAGACTAAGTTTCTGGGCCTGGAGGCTCAGGATAATAGTCTGGGTAAACGCCAAGGTCAACTGTCATAATATAGTCTGCCTAGACGGTGTTCTACATTATACATTGGTGAGTAGCAACTAGAATGTTAAGAAAGCTTATGATTTGCCATCTAAGATATGACTTTTGGAGATGCAAAGAAATAAGTACAATAGAATAACATACTATAGAAACTTGCAGTCTCCATGACTGAGACAATAAGACCTAGTCTGTCACCAGCCACAACTGGTCCCAGTAAAAAGGGATCCCTATGAAGGGGACCCCAATAGAAGGCCTTAAATAGAATAGGAGAAAAGGATCAAAACTCGGAAAATGAATTTTAAAAAAACCAAAACAATCCAAAAACCAAACAACAAACCAGGCTTATTGGTCCAATAGAAACTGGAAGAACTCCCAAGATTATTACCTTTAGATCCCATTTTAAGTCTGGAATTTAATTCACTCCTGTGGGCTAACTTTCAGCCAAATAGACAGGCCTAGTAAGTGAATAATAGCACCAAAGAGGTACATATTCCTTAGAAGAATCAGCTAGCTACAGGAGATCAAAAGGGTAGCATTTTCCTAGGCATGAATCTCAGAAGACAGGAGGAGATAGCAAAGCAGGGTGAATGAACCACTTAAACATAAAGAGAAAGTGGGAAGAATGTTATTACTGGTACAAAACAAAATTTGTATGAGTCTTTGAATGGAAAACCAATTTGTTTTGCAAACTTTCACTCAAGTCTACAAGTTTTGTGTGTGTGGTATGTTTAATTATATGCTAAATTCAGTGTAAGCTATTAAGAGTTCAGCTGCTAACTAAAAAGACATTGGTTCAAATCCATTAGCCCCTTCAGAACAGAAAGATGTAGCAGCCTACTTTTGTAAACATTAAAATGTTGCCAGAGCTCTAGGGCAGTTCTATTTTGCCCTACAGGATCACTGTGACTTAGAATTGTCTCCAGAGAAACAGGCAGTTTTTCTTTTTTGCATTTATATAGTTTATTTTCTCTTGATTGTAATGACAGTTTCCAGAAAGCTGATCTTTCACTTCATTCATTGATGCACATTTTTCCTCCCTCCTCTTCATTTCTCTCTCCTCTAACTCACTCTGTAATGCACTTTTTGTTTCAGATTTTTAATTGGCATGCCTATACTCCCTAATCATACAGCCTTTCCAATCCACTTTCTATGCTCAATGGACTCTCAAATCAAGTGCAGCTTAAAGAGATAAATTCCTAAGAAGAAAGGTGTATTTTGTCCTAGATCATTTCAATTGTTCATGACGTTTACTTAGTGATCTTTAATTGCCCTATTACAACCAGTTAGGTGTTCAATAGCAGTTTATATTGGTCAAATAAAAAAAAGAAGAGGTTTGGAGACAGTCAATGGCATTAAATTATTAAGTGTATTCAGGGATAAAATGAAAATAGAAATTGTTGCTCTCATAGTTTTGAATAGGGTTTTAAAATATGCTTATGGTTTAAATGAATGAATTGGAATAATAAACATAGTCATATTATAGTATTTTTAAAGAAAAAGACAAACAGATAACAGATTCAGTAAGTTATAGAAGCCTATTTTGCATCACATAGAAAGATTATGAACCCAAGAATTAAGCATGCATTTGTTATTTGTTAAAGTGGAATTAAGGAAGTCAGTGGTAAACATGAGAGTGTTACTCTAAGCAAGCAGGACACAGGTACTGTTACAGAATCGAGTATAAACAGGTAAGCAGACATGGAAGATGACGGGAAACATCTGCCTTTGAGGGAAATGGCAAACTTCTGGAAATGGTATGAAAAAGAGACAGGTTTGAGTTGATGAGTAACATGGAAAATGTATTGTGTCAGAGGTTACCTTTGTTGCCTTAGAAATCTGTTTTAACTTTTTATTTTGTTTTGAGTTATTTGAGCTGTTTCCCAAAATACATAGAGGAAAGCATGCCTTATGCAAAACAAATTCCGGAAGTGATTTAAATGAATGTTCACAGCTAAGGTAAAGGAGTATTACCACCACTTCAGTTTCTAGTGATAACAAGTCAATAAAATATTAGAAATGTGTTTGTACAAAGTGAAAAAAGTGAGTTAAGGCCTTTATTTGGATAAAAAAAGGACATATGTATATTCATTTTTCAATGAGTGCTGTCTATTATGTACTTCCTGTCTGCCAGTTCTTATGTAACTACATCTAACTTGCTACAGGTGAGAGCAAGTCACTATATATATATATATATATTTATATATATAATGATATCCACTATATTTTCCCTTCTGTCAACCTAGATGATATAAGAGGTAATCCCAACGATTAAAATTTTTAAAAAAACTAGCCATCTGACAATACATAAATTTCTGTAAGCAAATTTAGAATTTATATTATCTTTATATACTAGGCATTGTTAAATATTAAATGTAAATTAAATATTAATTTTCTTAAATATCAGATATGAGTTTCATATATGCATGTTTTAAGTATTGCTCAGCCCTAAGTATAAATTTACTACTATGTTTGGTAATAGTGTTCATATCCAGGATTACTATTAATTCTACAGAATGTAAAGCAGGGAACCTTTAGTTTTAAATGTTTTGTTTTGTTTTTTAAATTTGTCTTCATACAATTATTCATATATATTGCGTTTCATTCATATGTATTGTATTTTATACATAAACATTATATTTTATATAATTACTATTGATCTATAACCTTTATCACCCTGTCTTTTTATGTCCCCAATGTGATTTGTTAAAATGGAAGTACTTGAAGGGGATTTTCTTCATCTACTCAGAAAAAAAGAAGCATAAATCACAAGTTGTCCTCAAAGCGTTATAAATTAGGTTTTCTCTGTATATATTCCTGAAATATTTTAGTATTACATTAACTATCTCACAAATATATTTTATGAGAGCTTGAAAAGTCAAAACTAAATATGCTTTATCCTTGTGTTGCCAGGTCTGAGACAAATAACAAGTAAGATGATCTTGTATACTTTTATGTACCAAATATTTACTTAGTCTTTTTAATGTCAAATAATACTCTATACACTAGACATGCAAAGGCAATGACAAAATCCTATCTATTTTGCAGTCTAAAAACATTACACCAAAATAATTTATAGAGTTGTTTTCATTCTATAATGACACTTGTAAAAAGAAAGTTTAACAAATATTTCCATAACTTAATATTTCCTATTTCTCTGCTTCTGTTTAAAAACAATCATATACCTAACGAAAACAGCTTCTAAACAGATCATATTGTTGTTCCATATCCTCTGTAGTCACAGTTAGATCATTTCCAGTCTAAAAATACTACTCATCTAAGCAGAAATACAAAACATTTACCACATTTTGCGTGAGATTTGGCTGTGCTTCATTAGTTGATATAGAAATTCAAAATGATTAAGAAAAAGTACTATGAAAATATTTGAAGACATTCCCAGAAGCTTTTGAGTGAATATTTAAGTATTACTAATTTATGCTTGAAGAAATTTTTATTATTTATAACAACATGAAATAAATGATGAACATAAAAATTTAAAACTAATGATGCTGCAATATAACTTCTCTAAGATTAATATGACACAGGACTGTGAAATGTATACTAAATGAAATTAAATTTAAGGACAAACATAGTCAATACATTTCCACCGTTGCCACCAGGGGATAAAATAGAAGACGCATGGAAAACTCTCTGTGTTCACAAAAAAATAAAAGCAGCAGTCTTTTTCTCCAGACTTAGGAGTGGAATACCATAATTTGTTGGAAAAAAGTATCCACGAGAAGCAAGACTATGGATAGAATTGGACTAGAAATCACAGCAGTTACTCTCTTATTTTTGTGGGAATGGTAGTCCACCTTCCCACTCCCACGCCGAGCAAACACCACTAAAAATAACATGTACCTTTAAAGTATTCTGAGGAAGTTTAAAGCACCATTATCTTCTGCAAAGCTAAGAGAGGGCTTTTTTCTTTTCTTTTTTTTTTAAATTTAAGAGATGTGCAAAATTTTACTTTTCTTACCTTAATCCGTAGACTGCTTTAGCTTTTTCAAAGATTAAAGGTCAAAAAAAAAAAAAAAAGATTAAAGGTCAATGGACTAGATCGTAAGCATGAGGGAGGATTTACATTTGTTATGTTATTACATGAGACCACCCTGAGTTATGGGTGACTCATCAGCAACTATTAACAGCAGATATGTGAAATCTTGTGTTAAAATGCATTGAATTGACCAGAATATATGATTTTCAAGCATCATAGTGATAATATATGTACCATAGCTAACGATTTTCAAAACACCACTTGTCTTCGTTTTCCTACAGGCAGTCGCAGCAGCATCGGCTGCTTCAAGAGATTTCAGTGGAATAGGTGGGTTAGGAGAACTACTAGAAAGTTCTTCAGAAGCATCAAAATTAAGCTCCAAGAGTGCTAAGGAATGGAGGAACCGAAGAAAGAAAAGAAAACAGAGGGAGCACATTGGAGGAAACAAAGGAGAGGGAGACAGGTTTCCAAAATCGGAATCAGAAGACAGTGTCAAAAGACGAAGCTTCCTGTTCTCCATGGATGGAAATCGGCTGACTGGTGAGACGAAATCCTGCTCTCCTCACCAGGTATGGCTTCCTATGAATTTTTCTAGTTGTTCTGTAGTTGCTATTGCTTTTGGAATGACCTTTTGGGGGTGGATTTTTTGCAATAAGTGGTATAAATGAGAGGCAGGAATCTTAATTTAATGTAGCTATTTCAATTTTAATGAATATTATCTGTGAAGGAGATTCTCATTAAAGTTCAAACTTGAGATGCTCGGATTTAACAGTTTCACTATTTTGCATAACTTTTTGAGGGGTTCCACCTATTGGATTGTCTCTTCAGTAAGATGGTTGTGCAATACCTTGTTTACCTTTTCTAACTTCAGACTTCAAATGAACTTGAACTATTTATGTATAGATTTGTCTGAGGTTATTATTGTAATAATGTATGCTAGGATTTCTAAAAGCAATGTCCCTGTGAGTTTTGCCTTTGTCCTTTGATATGTGGGTGTACTGTCATGAGTCTCTGTTATATTGATCTGGTCCATGCTTTGATCCATCGCAATGAAATTATCTAAGTTCTCTAGAAGAGAATTCAAGTGCAGGCAGTCCCATTTTTGCTGTGATTCAATGTCAACTGCACAATTTTTCAGTATACTTTCAAGACAAAGAAAGAAAAATAGTCTTAACACTTTGGTGTTAAGAATAATAGTTGGGGAAAAATATGAGGAGAAAAAAGAATAATAGTTTTATAGGTTGCAAACTTTCAAACCATGGTATTTTTCAATTATATGCATGTAAAAGTTGGACAATGAATTAAGAAGATCAAAGAGGAATCAATGCCTTTGAATTATGTTATTGGAGAAGAGAAAATCACAGGCTTCCAGGCACTGAACAACTCTGTCTTGGACAAAGTACAGCTAGACTACTTTTTAGAAGCTAGAAGGGCAGGCTTTCTTGTGCACTTTAGACATTAATCAAGAGGAATCCATGCTTGGAGAATATCATGTTTCTTAAGAGCAAGAGGGTCAATGAAAAAGGGGAAAGCCTTAACCAGAGACTTAAACATGGCAAAAATTGTGAGGTAGACACAGGACACATGGTGTATCCTGTTTTGTCCTATAGGGTACTAGGAATTGGAACTGACTGGTGGCACAATATACCATAAAAAGTAGAAAGAAATCTGTGATAAGCATTGTTACGGATTTGTAAACTCTAGATTGTTCCATTATATTTTCATATTTGCTGAATTATGAACTCTTTCTAATCACATCACTGGACATACCACAAAAGGTAATTCTTTGAGGTACATACTTTAAATTAGACTCCTTTAAAGAGAAAGCTGTAAAACAGCTAACGGGTATAATAGTCTTTTCATACAGTAATGAGACTTTGAAAAACAAATCAAGAATGCTAAAAGCAAAGTTTAGTGTTGTATTTGGCTTTTGTTAGGGATAAAAAAAGGATTGTCAAGTCATCAGCAGGAAATTATATTGTACTTTATATTGAATTTACAAATTAAAATACTTAAATTAAATACAGAAATAGAACTTATATTGACAATGAATCCTTTTCATTTTTGTCATAATTGTTGTTGTTGTTGATTGCCTTCTAGTCAAGCATGACTCATAGTGACCCTATGAACAAAAGACGTGAAGCTATTCTACAACTATCAACATTTATGTAATAAGATAGATTTTGTGATAAAATAAATGTCCACATGTTGTTGTTGTTGTTATGTGCTGTCGAGTCACTTGCGACTCATAGCGACCCTATGTACAACAGCCCTAAATTCTGCTCTGTCCTGTGCCAATTGCACTGTCTCAGACACTCCCATCCCAATTATCCAAGTCACTGAATCAATCCACCTCATAGAGGGCCTTCCTCTCCTGCACTGTCCCTCCACCCTCCCGAGCATGATGTCCTTCTCCAAGGCCTGGTCTTTCCTCACAACATGTCCAAAGTATGTTAGATGGAACCTCAGAAGCCTTTCCTCCAAGGAGCCACCCGGTTTAACCCTTTCCAGGATGAATCTGTTTTCCTAGCAGTCCATGGTATTCTCAATACTCTTCTCCAGCACCACAGCTCAAAGGCATCAATTCTCCTTCTATCCTCCTTGGTCATTGTCCAACTCTCTGATGCATAACAAGTGATTGCAAAGACCACGGCCTGTATCAGACACACCTTAGTCTCCAGAGACACACCTTTGCTCTTCAGTACTTTGGAGAGGTCCCTAACAGCAGACTTTCCCATGGCAACGCGCCTTTTGATTTCCTGGCTACTGGTGCCAAGAGTGTTGACTATGGAGCCAAGAAAACTAAAGCTGTGAACAATCTGAATATCTTCACCATCCATCCTGATGCTGCCAATTGGTCCAGTGGTGAGAATCTTTGTCTTCTTGACATTGAGCCTCAATCCATATTGGAGCCTGCTGTCCCTGACCCTCTGCAGCAGGTGCTTCAGGTCCTCCTCAGTTTCAGCAAGCAGGGTTGTGTCATCTGCAAACGCACATTGTTTATAGATCTTCCACCAATCTTGACCCCACATTTCTCCTCATAGAGCCCAGCCTCCCAGATGATCTGTTCTGCATGCAGGTTGAAAAGGTATGGAGATAAGATGCAACCCTGGCGTACGCCCTTCCCAATTTTGAACCATGCAGTGTTCCCTTGCTCTGTTCTGACGACTGCCTCCTGGTCCAAGTATAGGTTTTGCATTAGAACGATCAAGTGTTCTGGGATTCCCATTCTTCTCAGAGTCAGCCACAGTTTGTTATGATGCACACAGTCAAATGCCTTTGCATAGTCAATGACAGATAGACATTCCTCTGGTATTCTCTGCTTTCAGCTAAGATCCATCTAACATCAGCTACAATATCCCTAGTACCACGACCCCTTTTAAACCAAGCCTGGAACTTGTGTCCACATACAGAAAGCTAAAAGACAAAATAATTTCCTATAAAGAATCACAATATCAAGGCATTGAAGTACTTATATAATAAAATATCAGCATTTAAAATAATAGACAACTCTATAGGAAGCTGCACTGCTAACTGAAAGGTGGCATCTCCCAGATGGTTCGAATTCACCAGTGGCTCTTCAGGATAAAGATGAACGCTCTCCTCCATGCAATTTATAACCTCCCCAAAACCCACTGGAGGGCCAACTATGAGTCAGTTCTGATTTGATAGCAGAGAGAGAAGGCTCTTAAATAATAAATTATCTTTAATAAAATATGGTACTCAATCAGTATATTTGGGGACAACTTGAAACACTAAAAGTGAACTCAGTTTTTCAGGCCAGATTTAATTCTGGGACTCAAACTCTCATCCTTGACATTTTACATTATTAATAACATAGGAGTCATTAGGATTAGGAGACTATAGCATAATGACTGATGTCATGAAAATTTTCGTCATATTTCAACTCTAAATTAGCTCAGTAACCTTAGCAAAGTCCCTTATACTTTTAAAGATTTCTGTGAAATAAGGAGAATAATGCTTAATTTAGAGTGTTGTTATGGGGGAATTAAGTGATATACAGGAAGCCTTTGCTGGCATAGTCTGGGGGGTACTGCACTGAGAACTCAAAAGTTGCACCTCTCTGATAGTTTGAATCCACACAGTAGCTCTGCAGAAAATGGGTGGGCAATCCCCTCTCCTGCAATTTACAGTCTTCACAATCCACTGGAGGGTCAACTAGGAGTCAGATGCAGCTCGGCAGCAATAGTTAGTTGGTAAGGCTCTTATGAGGATAGTGACCAAGTGAATCTCAAATGAAGGAGACTGAAAAATCTAAAGTTGTTTGTTACTTATCCGTGTGTGTCTTTACATGAAGGCATGCATATGTTCCTAACATAACATTATTACTTTCATCATTGTAATAGAAAAAATCTGTGGATTCATTAATTCAGTTAATAAATATCTATTGATCATCGTCTGGTCTGTGTCAGGACCCATTTGGAATGATAAAAATTTCCCAAAGAACAAAAGTGATACAATTCTTTGATCTCGGAAATTATATTTTAAAGGAGACAGGTAATTAGCAACAATTAGCAAAGTAAGTAAGTTATAGAGTATGCTTACAGTGATGTTATTCAAAAACCCCAAACCCATTGCTGTCAAGTTTATGCCAACTCAAAGCAACACTTTAGGAGAGAGTAGAAGAGTTTCCAAGATTACAATCTTTGTAGAAGTAGACTATCTGTCACATCTTCATACCCATGGTGTGTTCCAGCTACTGATCTTTGGGCTGGCAACTAACCACTGTACCACTAGGACCCTTAATAAGTACAACAGGGGGCAAAATATCAAACAGGGAAAGAATGCTATTCAGCGATGTTGTTATAAATAGGTTGTTACAGTAAGAAGTCCACACTCTAAAAGGGATATGTCAGCAAAACTTCAGAGGTGAGGGATGAAATTACCTCAAAGAAAAGAAGAGTATCTGCCTAGTGTGTTCTAGAAGCAGTTATAAATAAGGTCTGTACTGTAGTAAGCAAGTGAATCACACAAGGCAATAGGTGAAGGAAGCTAGTTGACAACAGCATCTTAAAATGAAAAATAGTTTATGTAGAAGATTTCATACTTGTAGATGAGCTGATAGATAAATTGATGGAGTCTTTTTTGTTTCTGTTAGGTGCCATTGAGTCAATTCTGACTTGTAGTGATCCCATGTACACAAAATGAAACAGTGTCCTATTTTGAACCTTCCTCACAATTGTTATATTTAAGTCCACTGTTGCAGTCTCCTTGCCAATCTGTTTTATGAAGCTCTTTCTCACTTTCTTTGACCTACTTTTACTAGGCATTACCTCCTTCCTGATAGCATGTTAAATATGTTGTTGCTGTTGTTATGTGCCGTCGAGTCGCCTGCGACTTATAGCGACCCTATGTACAAGAGCCCTAAACTCTGCTCTGTCCTGTGCCAATCGCACTGTCTCTGACACTCCCATCCCAATTATCCCAGTCACTGAATCAATCCACCTCATAGAGGGCCTTCCTCTCCTGCGCTGTCCCTCCACCCTCCCAAGCATGATGTCCCTCTCCAAGGACCGGTCTCTCCTCACAACATGTCCAAAGTATGTTA